TGATTTAATTTTAGATCATGTTTTGATTGCTTCAAATTTAATTTAGCCTAGTTTAGCTTTTAGCGAGTGCTAATTTAAGCAAATGTTTTGCTAAAAGTAATTTCAGCTAACTTCTTAAGATTTTAGCTGAAGAAAAGAGCAGCCGAAAATAGAAGTTGGGTAGGAAAATAACTAGATTTTAGTTGCTGTTGTGCCAACTTTATCTTTTACTAATTTTACTTAATTAACTTGGCAACTAGTTTGTTAATTTTAGCTTTTAGCTATGGTGGTGCTAATTTTAGATAATGTTCTGCTAAATTTAGCGTAAGCTATTGTCTTATTAGATTATAGCTACTGATGTAATTTTAGCTTTTAAATGTTAATTTAACTGTTCGGCTGATATTAGCATTTAGTAACTGTTGTGCTAATATTTTGCTAAGTGTAATTTAGCTACTGTTTCAATATTAACATTTTAGATAATTTAATTTTAGATCATGTTTTGATTACTTCAAATTTAATTTAGCTTTTAGTGAGTGCTAAGTTTTACTAAAAGTAATTTTAGCTACTGTCTAACTTAATCAGGACTTTAGCTGCTCTGGTTGTGCGAATTGTGATCCCTGAAGAAAATAGCAGCCGAAAAAAGTTGGGTAGGAAAATAACTAGATTTTAGTTGCTGTTGTGCCAGCTTTAGCTAATGTGTTGCTATTTTTAACTTCATTACTAAACTTGGCAACTAGTTTGTTAATTTTAGCTTTTAGACAATGTGTTTTTTTTTTTTTAGCTACTGTTTTAGTTTTGGCATTATCTAAAAGCTAAAATTAAACTATTTTTTAAGTTTAGTATTGAAGTTAAAATTTGCAACACATTAGCTAAAGCTGGCGCAACAGCAACTAAAATAATTACAATTTTCCTAACCAACTTTTTTTTTCTTCGGCTGCTCTGATGTTTTTTGCTAATTTAAAGCTTTAGCTCTTTGTGCTTTAGCTTTTGCTTGTTTTAACTTTAACAATTCTGTTAAAAGTTAATACATCAAAGAACAGCATTTTGACATTCTAACATTAGTTTTTTTTTTTTTTTTAAAGCGCTTGAAATTAAGTTTAAATTACATATTTGATTTCGGCTGTTAGCGTATAAGCTGTGGTATTTCAAAAGGTAACAGCTGAGCAAAGCATTTTTAAATAAGTTAATTTTAATCCACTATGTGAGTGAGCTGCTTAACCATTTAGGGTTAGGATCAAATCAATAAAAATATATATATATATATATTTCCTTTTAACGAAGCTGATTATTAGAATTTGTACAGTTCAGGAAAAAAAAAATCCTCAACGAGCCACCTACCAGTCGGTGGCGCTAATGCGCTCCCTTACTGTATTGCCAACCGCCAACAAACCTTCACAAGCGGAAGAAGAAGAAGGAGCATTGCGTAGTTTCCGGTGACGCATGCGCATTGCCGCACATTGCGAGCTAGTAGCATAGTTGTCAAAGACTCCTGTGAGAACATTTAAAAAAAAAAAAAAACCCGTGGAATTGCACCTAAAACGCGCTGTGAAATGTTTCGTAGAAAGCTAACAGCTCTAGATTATCACGATCCTAACGGCTTTGACTGTTCAGGTGAGAAACTAATATACAATAAGCAAGTTTTGATCAGTTGAAAGTGGACCTGGGGCTAACGAGCACGTATCCCAGAATCCCTCAAGACTTGGACCGAACTCCTATGTTGAAAATAACTATTTTTGGAATTCTTCCTCATTTTAGCAAAAGTTGTGTTCATTATGTTTTAGGAGGAATTCAAATATATCACTGCACTTTTCGGCATTATTACTAGGAAGGTACATGCAATATCATTAAGGTATTTTGTTGTTCATTAAACGCCTATAATGATTGGGAACAATTTTATCATCCAAGTCCATTTAATATATATGAGCAAAACTCTCCACAATTTCTATAATATTAATAATTTGACTGTACGACACAGCTGGTAATCATAATATGTGATTTGCTCTACAGCTTGTGTGAACAATGACTCGTATCTGCTTCCTGTTCAGATGAAACTCAGTTCAGAAACTGCATCGTGTGGCTGGAGGACCAGAAGATCAGACACTACAAGATCGAGGACAGAGGCAACCTGAGGAACATCCCCAGCGCAGACTGGCCCAAAGCCTACGAGAAGGTGAGGCGATCCAACACGACCCCCTCCGTCGTGCGGGTCTCGTATAATTTGAGCTTCCTTGGTGTGTTTCGCAGTACCTGCAGGATCTGAACTGTCCGTTTGGAGTCCAGGAGCGGAAGGAGGCTGTGGACTGGTTGCTGGGCCTGGCTGTGCGTTACGAGTACGGGGACAACGGTAAGATGGAAGCTGCACAGGTATGGTCCAAGTCCCAGCAGGTGCAGTACCGCTGCTGACCAGCAGGTGGGGCTATGATGACAGACATTACACATTCCCAGTGTTCATTTTATTATTATCCTTAACCTTTTAGAGGCATGTTAGTAAAATATCTTGTAGTCATTCGATTTCAATATGTCCGCCGCAGCTCAACATAAGAACGGCTACAGCTGCCGACTGCAGAGATCGGGCTCAGACTTGTGGTTGTAGCCGACAGTCATCCCTAACGCGGACTCTGAGCGTGGGCACCAAGTCATTTTCAGTGTTTCGACCAAAACGGCTCGACGATTTTAGTTTGAAGCTCTGGCAGGAAAGGCGGCGGGCGACGTGCATTCCTTCTGTTTTTATGTAGAGAAAGCGTACGGCACGACGTGGGCGAAGGATTATTAATTAAAGTGGACAAACTGGATTTCCTGTGAAAATGTAGTGTGAATGCTTATTGGTGAAAAACAGCTGAAATGGAAGAACAAGTCTAACTTAGAAGAAGAAAAAATACAGATTTGCTGAAATAGGTTTAGATAAGCAGAAATTAGCTAAAAAAAACAAACTGAAATTAGCTAAAAATAGCTGAAAAGGCGGAAAGAAGCTTAAATTACTAGTAGGAAGCAGAAAGAGCTGAAATGAACTGGTGGAAATAGCTGAAAAGCTCAAATTAGCATAAAGCAGCTAAATAGTTGCTGAAATATCATATAAAGCTGAAACTAGCAGAAGAAAACTGAAAGGAGCATAACAAGCTGAAATTATCTTAAAGAAGTTAATTAGGATGAAAGTAGCAAAAATTACCATTAAAATTTTGAGTTAATCTAAAAACAGCTGAAATTAGCTGAAAAGTGCTGAAAAGGTAGAACAAGCTTAAACTAGCAGAAGAAAGCAAAAAGAACATGTTTGTCCAATTAGGCTGAAAGAACCAAAAAATGAGCACAAAAAAGGGGGATTATCTGAAAAAAATCAAAATTAGCACACACCAAAAAAACAGCTGAAAAGTAGCTAAAAAGGCAGAAAGAAGCTTAAATTACAAGAATGAAGAGGAGAGAGCACATTTTTGCTGAATTAAGCTGGAAAAAGTTGGCATTAGTGCAAACAATGTGGAATTAGCTAAAAAAGCTAAAATTAGTGTAAAGACAGCTAAAAGCTGAAATAGTAGAAAAAGTTGACGCTTGCAGAATAAGCTGAAAGGAGCATAAACTGAAACTATCATAAATAAGGTAATCAGGATGAAAGTAGCAAAAATTACCATGAAAAACTTGAATTAATGTAAAAACAGCTGAAAAGGTAGAACAAGCTTAAATTAGCAGAAGAAAGCAGAAAGAACATGTTTGTCCAATTAGGCTGAAAGAACCAAAAATGAGCACAAAAAAAGTGGGAATTAGCTGAAAAAAGCTGAAATTAGCACCAAAAAAAGCTGAAAAGTAACTGAAAAAGTAGAAAGAAGCTTAAATTACCAGAAGGAAGTGAGTAGAGCACATTTTTGCTTAATTAGGCAGAAAAAAGTGGAAATGAGTGCAAAAAATGTGGAATTAGCTGAAAAAGCTAAAATTAGCATAAAACAACTTAATAGTAGCTGCAATTGTAGAAAATGCTGAAACTTGCAGAAATAAGCTTACGGGAGCATAACGAGCTGAAATTAGCAGAGAGAAGTTAAAACAAGCACAAAAATGTTATAGTTAGCAGAAAGAATCTGAAAAGAGCACAAAACAGCTAAAAAAAACTGATGAAATTAGCTAAAAGTAGCTGCAAAAAGTTAAGAATGCAAACATTCACAGTTATATCAAATGTGTATTTCTGGAAAAATGTTTAACTGTATTCAAAACTTTTTATCTGCACAAGTTAGAATTGAGCAAGAACATAAGTAGTAAAAAATGGCGTACCTCAAGGATGCTTTATAAGCCCGTTATTGTTTTGTTTAACGATAAATGATTTATTCAGTCGTTGAAAAAGAAATGCGATGTTCGCCGTTTGCGAATGATGGAGACTCGTGGAAAAGAGGTGGAAATACAGAATTTAATGCTTTTATTGATTAATAAATCCTTTAATTTGTGCGTGTTTTGCAGTGGAGAAGTACAAGAACTGCCAGCCGTTGGCAGCTTCGGGTGTGAGCGATAAACCGGCGGATCCTCTCGTCAACCTGGACTGTACGTGTTGGAGCGCTTCTCTTTCACCTTTACTGATTTTCCTTCTTCCCCTCTGACTCTTTATTCCTTCTTTCGCAGGCAATGCTCCGGATTTCAAAGCAGGAGTTACAGCTCTGGCAAACATCCTCAAGATTCAAAGACACGACGATTACCTGGTCATGCTCAAGGTGGGAGTTGGCGTGTACCCGTACGCTACGGCCAGATCACCAGACACTTCACAGTTTACAGCCGGCGCAGAAATTTGTTCTGTCCACTTTATGTAGCGCGTCAGTACCACAGCATGATGTTACCACCACCGTGCTTGACTGTTTGAAATGCTTCCAAACACACTTTATTTTTTTTAACTACTCGTGCACCCGTCTAAGAAGCGGTAAACATTTATTGGAGGAAGTTGCTCCTGACTAATTTCACAATAAAAGCCTCCCAACTGTTGAAGCAGTGAACTCTTTGGACTCGGTATCACCACAATAAAAGTCCTCGTTTTCTTACAGATTTGAAGTTGAACTCCTGGGATGTTTTATATTTTCGAATTGTTTTGATGTTTTATATTCAGGCCGTCCGTATTCTGATCCAGGAGAGACTTTCGCCCGAGGCCATCACTAAAGCCAACCAAAGCAGAGAGGTAAACGTGCGCACGTCACACTCTGTAGCACTACCAGGACTAGGCCTGTCACGATAATAAATCAATTAATCGCACGATAAATGAAAATGATCAGCCTCGTTTTCATTTATCGGCTTCATCGTTTCTTCGTGTCTCTCTTTCTACTGAAGACACTGGATGACAAAAGGCTCAACTCCGGTGCCCTTCACTGACCCCGCCCTTTCTCTTTGATCTTTTAAATCCATTTTAACGAACCAAAATCGTGTTTTTGGATCGTTTAAAGCAGCTAAGCTGATCATTATCCATCCTTCGGTTCAGACAGTCTTATACTGCCATCAAGTGGTCAAAAAAGGTACTACACATAAAAATTAACCATCATTTCTTCTTAAGTTCGACAATAATTACTAATTATTGAAAATTTCCAAACAATATTATCGTTTATCGCAATAATTTCTGAGACAATTAGCTAAATTTGTTATCGTGACAGGCCTAACCAGCGCGCATGTTTGATTCAACTGAAATAATGTTTGAAGAGTTTTCGTAGAATTTAATCTTTTAATGCAGATATTAAAACTGATTAGATAAATTATTTAAATACAGTTTACATGTTTATTGTTGTGAGAATGTTTGTGAAGCAATCACTCTATTGTGATCCATTTTTCTTCCGTACATTTTTCTGCGTCTTTCTCGTCCCCCAGTTTTCAGTTGTTTCAACAAATCGTGAATCAAAACGTTCGGCTCTTTCAGGACAATCCTGCTATGAGTTTTGGTATTGGTGCAACTTTAGCTTTTTGAAATATTTAGCCTTTTCTGACACTTTTTGTCTAGTAGAAAATGAATGGAGCTCATGCATCCTTCAGATCTTTAGATGTGTTTACAACCTTTTACTGCTCCTTTCACATTTTGTTCTGCTTCAGCTGCTTTAATCAAATTTAAACTTTTTTCCAGCTACTTTCAGCTGTTTTTTTTTTTCAGCTGTTTTGTGCTCCTTTCAGATTCTTTCTGCTAACTACAACATTTTTGTGCTTCTTCAAACTTCTTTCTGCTAATTTCAGCTTGTTATGCTCCTTTCTACTTGTTTCTGCAGCTTTCAGCTTTTTCTGCTATTTCAGCTAATATTTAGCTGTTTTTATGCAAATTTTAACTTTTTCAGCTAATTTCACATTTTTTCAGCCCAGTTCATCAGAAATATTCTCTCTCCACTTCCTTTTTGTAATTGAAGCTTCTATCTGGTATTTTAGCTACTTTTCGGCTGTTTTTTTTTTTTTTTTTTTGCGTATTTCAACTTTTTGTGTTAATTTCCGCCTCTTTCAACTTAATTGGACAAATGTGTTCTTTCTGCTTTCTTCTGCTTAAGCTTGTTCTACATTTTCAGCTAATTTTTGCTGTTTTTAGATAAATTTAAGTTTTTCATGGTAATTTCTGCTACTTTCTGCCTAATTACCTCGTTTCTGGTCATTTCAGCTTGTTTTGCTCGTTTCAGCTTTTTCTGCTCTTTCGTATTTTATTTAGCTGTTTCAGTGCTAATTTTAGGATTTTCAGCTAATTCCTCATTTTATGAGCTCCTTTCAGCTCTTTCCACTGTCTTCTGGTAGATTAAGCTTCTTTCTGCATTTTCAGCTACTTTTCAGTTGCTATTTGCTAATTTAATATTTTTTTTTTAGCTAATTTCTGCTTATTTAAACCTAATTCAGCAAATATGTGTTCTTTATGGTTTATTCTGCTAACTTGGGCATGTTCTTCCTTTTCAGCTACATTTCAGTATGTTTTTAGCTAATTTCAGCTGTTTTTAAAATTTTTTTAAGCTAATTTTAGCTGTTTTTCAGCAAGTTCCTAGTTATTATAAATCTCATTAATTTATTTCTGATCTCAAAGTTGGCCTGATTTATTTATTTTTTTAATCTATAAAAATAAAAGCTCCGCCTACATATTCATATGTAGGCGGAGCTTCTGGTTTCCAATGTATTAGGCCACACCCCCGATCGAGGCCGTTAAAGCCTTCGTAGTGACGTCCTCCAGTTACATTAATTGTTAATTCCTTGTCGTCTCTGCAGGGAGTTCCTGTAGCTTTAGACAAGCACGTTTTGGGTTTTGACACCGGAGGTGAGCGGAGATTTTAACGAATGAGTTAATTTAAGAAGGAGCGACTGTAAAACGCTAACTCGAGCGTGTCCCCTCAGACGCGACCCTGAACGAAGCGGCTCAGATCCTGCGCCTGCTGCACATCGAGGAGCTGAGGGAGCTGCAGACCAAGATCAACGAGGCCATCGTCGCCGTTCAGGCCATCATCGCCAACCCCAAAACGGACCACCGGCTGGGCAAGGTCGGCAGATGAGGAGGACGAAGAGGTCGGCTGTGGGGGGAGCGAAGGACTAAACCACAAGAGGGTTTTAATTTAACTTTCTGGGTGGGGGGGGGGGTAGTTTTGTTGGAAAAGTCCGAGGGACTGTTTAGTTTTTGCATGAGATGAAGCTGTTTTAAACAAGGATCCAGATTTCAGATGCGTCTTTTTTTTTTTTTCTACCTCAAAGGATGAGCCGAAACAAAAACTACGGTGTTCGTGCTCTGACGCGTCCTCGGGTCATATTCGTGGAACGAGCAAATGTTTTCAGGAGTTTTATGTTTGGTCGGGACTTTTTGTCTTGTGGTTGTCTGATGGTTTATCTCTACAAATACAAAAACAAAAAAAAACCCGTCTTATTGTAACGTCTCAGTAATGACTTCGAGCAGTGCAGAAAAATACAGTAGGATTATAGTTATTTTTAGTAAAATAAAAATACCCAGTAACGTAAAATTTAATTTTCCAAAAACCACATGTTAAATGCTGAAGCTGGACAAACGTATGTAATAAAAACAAAAACCTAGCTTAACATGCTACACGCAGCCGTTGCGTCTTATTATGAAACTGAAACGTTTTCCTTCTCATTTCTCAGTTCAGATGTTTTAGTGGGATTCTGTGGAAAGGTTACTAACAATTAACATCTTACCTGTTGTAGATAGCTCTTTGAATGAGGAATGTTTTTTTTTTTTTCTCGTAGAAAATGAAATGAGCTCATTTTACCACCTTTAAATCTTTAGATGTGTTTACAACCTTTTAACTTTTTTCAGCTACTTTCAGATTCTTTCAGCTAACTACAACATTTTTGTGCTGCTTCTAATGTCTTTCTGCTCATTTAAGCTTGTTGTGCGCCTTTCAGCTGCAACTTTTATTATTTCAGTTACTATTTAGCTGTTTTATGCTACTTTAAACCTTTTCAGCCAATTCCACATTTTTGCACTCAGTTCAACATTTTTCAGCCTAATTCAGTGAAAATATGCTCTGTCCACTTCCTTCTGCTTTTTCAGCTACTTTTCAGCTGTTTTTCAGATCGTTTCCACTTTTTTTTTTGCTTTTTTATGTTTCTTTCAGCAACCATGTGTTCTTTGTTCTTCTGCTAATTTAAGCTTGTTCTACCTTTTCAACTACCTTAGCATTTTTTAGCTAATTTTAGCTGTTTTCAGATAAATTCAAGTTTTTCCAGGGTAATTTTTGCTACTTTCATCCAAATTAACTTCTTTATGCTCCTTTCAGCTTTTGTCTGCTAGTTTAAGCTTTTTCTATTTCAGCTACTATTTTGCTGATTGTATGTTAATTTAAGCCTTTTCAGCTAATTCCACATTTTTTAGCTCATTTAATTTCTTTCCTCTTCTGATAGTTTAAGCTTCTTTCTGCATTTTCATCTACTTTTCATCTATTTTTTCTGATTTCAGCTTTTTTTTTGCTAGTTTCAGCTTTTTCTATTTCAGCTACTATTTAGCTGATTTTATGTTAATTTAAGCCTTTTCAGCTAATTCCACATTTTTTAGCTTATTTAATCTCTTTCCACTTCCTTCTGGTAGGTTAAGCTTCTTTCTGCATTTTCAACTATTTTTTTCTGATTTCAGCCTTTTTTTAGCTAATTTCCTAAATTTGTGCTAATTTCTGCTTATTTAAACCTAATTCAGCAAATGTGTGTTCTTTCTGCTTTCTTCTGCAAATTGAGACTTGTTCTTGAGTTTCAGCTACATTTCAACATGTTTTTAGCTATTTTCAGCTGTTTTTCAGCAAGTTCTTCTACAATAAGCATTCACACTGCATGTTTGCAGGAAATACAACTTCTCTAGTTCAGATTGTCGTGAGCAGCTAAAGTCTAGTCTCAGCAGAACTAAGACAAAAGTGGACGGCGATGAATTAAAACGACTCCGTGTTCAGAACTTTTTACATCTTCGTCAGATTCGCATCAGTTATTTTGGCTGAGCTACAATTCAAGGTGACAGCAAGTGCTTCAGCTAGAACTAAAAAATATATCAGAATGCAAAATCACAGCGATTTAAAGTCAAACTAGAGAAACTGCATTTCCTGCGAAAATGCAGTGTGGATGCTTATTGCAGAACAACTTGCTGAAAAACGGCTGACATTAGCTTAAAAAATGCTGAAATGTAGCTGAAATGGAACAACAAGCCTAAATTAGAAAGCAAACGCAGAAAGAACACATATTTGGTGAATTAGGTTTAAATAAGCAGAAATGAGCACAAAAAATAGGAAATTGGCTAAAAAGGCTGAAATTAGAAAAAAGAAAAAAGCTAAAAAGGCAGAAAGAAGCTTAAATTACCAAAAGGAAGTAGAGAGAGCACATTTTTGCTGAATTGGGCTGGAAAAAAGTTGAGATTATTGCAAAGTGCGGAATTAGCTGAAAAAGCTAAAATTGGCATAAAACAGCTAAATGGTAGCTGAAATAAGCTGAAAGGAACATACCAAGCTAAAATTAGCGTAAAGAAGTTAATTAGACTAAAGGCAGCAGAAATTAGCACAAAATATTGAATTTATCTGAAAACAGCTGAAACTAGCTACAAAGTGCTAAAGCGGTAGCTGTAAAAGTAGAACAAGCTTAAATTAGCAGTAGAAAGCAGAAATGAGCACAAAGAAATTGAAATTATCTGAAAAAGTTGAAATTAGCAAAAATTATAAAAGAAAAACAGCTGAAAAGTAGCTAAAAAATATAAAGCTTAAATTACCAGAAGGAAGTGGAGAGCACATTGTTGCTGAATTAGGCTGAATAAAGTTAAAATTAGCCGAAAAAGCGCAAATTAGCATAAAAACAGCTAAATAATAGCTTAAATAGCAGAAAGAAGTTAGAAAAAGCCTAAAAATGTTGTAGTTAGCAGGATGAATCTGAAAAGAGCACAAAACATCTGAAAGTAGCTGAAAAAGTTTAAATTTGCAGAAGGAAGTTGAAAGAAGCTAAAGGAGCAGGTTGTAAACAATTCTAAAGATTTAAAGGCTGTAAAATGAGCTCAATTCATTTTCTGTGAGGAAAAAAAAAGCCAGAAAAGGCTAAATATTTCAAAAAGCTAAAGTTGCACCAATACCAAAAGTCACAGCAGGATTATCCTGAAAGAGCTGAACGTTTTGATTTATGATTTGTGGAAATGGTACCAAAAATAACCAATCACAAATTTCTTGACGTAATCGAAGGAGGAGATTCTGGACGGAAATAAAACCCAACGCTCAGTTTTACGTAAAAACTTTATGTCGCCGTTCTGCGGCTTCAAGGAAACGGCTCACGTACAAATTTAACCGTAGCATCAATAGAAAACAAAACACAAAAAATACAGTAGAAAAAAACTACAAAATGAGGTATGAAACAAATTTACAAAACTTTGGGTTATAATTTGAAGGTGAGTGTGGTCTGGCTTCAGGAAGCCGTCCTGCTCCCTGCTGAGTGTCCGCCGCCCTGAGGGACGCCAGGGACTAGTAGCACCAAAGGACCCTGTGGCTGCTGGCCCCGTCGTTAGTGGTTCCCTGTGAAACGACACAAAAAAAAGACAGTTTTGTCTTTGGGACGTCTTAATTTGCCAGTGGAGGCGGTTCAAAGAGCCGAGCGCAAGTTCTCTTCCTGTGTGAGTAACGACCAAACAAACACCGAACAGCTCGGAGCCGCCGAGAGTTCCCGCGCTCAACGACGACGAGCCTCTTTCGCCAAACTCCCAAGACCCAAATGAGTTCGGAGGCTTTCACACACCGTTCCCGATCGATCTGGGAGAACCAAGGGGCAGATTTCACATCTGCCAGGGGGCCACTTTGAGGACCGTCCTGTGTTTAGAGGGACTTTAAAGGTGTTTTTAAAAACCCGGCTTTGAAAAGGTTTGAAGCCATCTGCCAACGTCAACACATCAAACCAAAGTACAGGCGGAGGGTCGTCAGCATCTGTGTAATCATGGCTCTTTGGTCTCAAGTCTCAAGTAGAGGGTCCCACACAGCTGTGTGTTCGTTCTTGTCTGTTTTATGACATACAGCTGAAAACATGTTTAATGCACCATACAAAAAGTCAACCCTTTTTGTTTTTAGCTCGCTGTCTGACTAATTCTTTCCTGTTTTGGGTCTTAACTTCCCAAACTGACTTGGGTGATACGTTTTGGCTTTCCATCAACATTTTTATCCCGTTCCTCCTGACAGAACTGGTCTAACTGAGTCTCCTTTTTCAGCTCTGCCCACAGGTTTTCTCTGGGACTGAGATCAGGACTTTAAATCTTTGTTGCCCTTAAACCACTTGGTCGTTTGCTCAGGGTCATGTGTGTCCTGATTAGGCGTGTCGCGATAAACAATAAATCAATTAATCGCACGATAAATGAAAAGTATCAACCTCATTTTCATTTATCGGCTTTATCGTTTCTTCAAGTCTCTCTTTCTACTGGACACTGGATGACAAAAGACTCAAGTCCGGTGCTCTTTAATGACCCTTCCCTTTTTCTTCTTTTTTAGAAAAATCCGTTTTAACGGATCAAAAATCCCGTTTTTGGATCGTTAAAAGCAGCTAAGCTACGAGCTAAGCTAACAGGCCCATCTCAGGAAAAAAACCTCCGTCTTGTCGAAGCTCCAAAATTCACGGTTGAAACCCGTGCCTTCGTGTAAAAAGTTGCTTTTCTCTGCAAAAAGAAGCTGAGAACTTGTTTACTCGTTTTTTATTAAAAGCTTTGTGAGAAAAATGCTAAGTAGCTCAAACCACACCGAGCGTCCGCCATTTTGATAACCGAAGAGAGACAGCCCATGTCACGTCAAGGGGCCTCCCTCTCCCATTTTTTTCTTAAAGAGACACGCTGCTCGCTCCCTCACTATCCATCCTTTGGTTCATACAGTCTTATACTGCCATCCAGTGGTCAAAAAGGTACTACATACAAAAATTAACCAACATTTCTTCTTAAATTTGACAATAATTACAGATTATTGTCAAATTTTAAACAATATTATCGTTTATCGCAATAATTTCTGAGGCAATTTATCGCCCAGCAAAATTTGTTATGATGCGATTTACGATAATGTTTGAAAAAATATCGGTTAATTTTTGTCTAGTACCTTTTTGGACCACCGGATGGCAGTATAAGACTGTTAGAACCGAAGGATGGATAGTGAGGGAG